GCTGAATCAGGTTTTGATTTGTTATCCCCTTGACACTACAGCCCCAGTGGGCCTAGGCCTACCTCCATGAACTTCTCCGTTCACTTCGGTTTTTCTAGATCTTACACATACGGTAGGACTCCTTGGGCGAGTGATCAGCTCGTCGCAAGGCCTCTACCTGTACACAAACACAGAAAAACGCACACAAACATCTATGCCCTGAGTGGGTTTCGAACTCACGATCTCTGCTTCCGAGAGAGCGAAGACAGTGCATGCCTTAGACCCCTTAGACCGCTCGGCTACCGTGACCGGCTTTGATTTGTTATAGTCGTTCCCAAATATCTGAACTGTGCCACATCTTCAAAACATGTGTTAGCTGTGTTTATGTCATGATTTCAGCGGACTACACGGCGTTATATCATAGAAGATAGAACTCTTGAATTAATACAATCGTCTCACATGTTTCTGTCGCATATGACCGTATTTAGAGGCTCGAAAGATAAAAGGAGATCGCTGATGTATGCATTAAAATATGGAATATGTATATTCCTTGTAAGCAAAATACGATATTGTGAAATATGTTATGGTTGCTCTCGCTTCTGGCGTGTGTTAAATTACTTTACACAGACTTCGCGTGAAGTATGAGGTAATGCTATGTCGGTAATTTTCTTATATTCTTTGCTACTGTTTTAACACAGCTCCAAAACAAACAACAACTAACATCTCTACCAATACAGACAGGAATGAAGTACGTAAGACCATCACTAACACAGTTTTGCGCAATTGTTCTTACGAAGTCTGTATAAAAGCAATTTAACAATGTTTTTCTGAAGCCAGAGCAACCATAACATGTGCCGAAACCTCGTGTTTTAGTCAGAAAAATGTGTGTTGTATATTGTTACGTGATGGATTGGTAAACGAATTTATTGAACCTAAAACAACTCATGACACTTTGTAGACTAGCGTTCTCCGTCACGGTCTTCACTGCGCTGCCTGGTAGCGGCTTCGAACTATGTGGCGTCCTCTGCTTCCGTATTCAACGGTTCCTGTCCTCGATGACTGGCACCTTTCAGCTGCAGCTACCGAAATGAACTAATTGGCGAACTCACAAAGTCAACGTCAAAGTCAAAGTTACTTTACGACTGGCGGTGTACCGCCGGTCAGTTCCTCTTGTCGCCAGGCCCCTTGAGGCCACGACCAGAGGGTTTTTTTTTTCAACTGAACCCTTCCGGTAATAGTCCTTACGTAACATCCTCTCTAACGAGAAGATGGGTTTGTCGTTTATAAATAAGCTTGGATTTTCGTCAAGTGTATATTTCGCACATGTAACATGTTATTGAAAATTCTTCCTTTTTTACTACACACAAGTCCTCTGTCAGTACAGGCTTTACAGAGTAGATCATGTCTAACTTAAGTATCTTATGCTACAACGCAGCTTAAACATTTGAACGGTCGTAAACTTGGGACAATCGACTCCTAATGTAGCCTCGGCACGGACCGCATAAAAAACACTTCTCCCAAGAAGCTTAAAACAGAAGAAGCAAGAGGACGGGAAAATTACACAATGAGGATCTTCGTAATCTGTATGTATAATCTTTAAAGTGATTTAATCAAGAAGGATAAGGTGGACGGGGTATATAGTATGGGAAAATTAAGAATTGAAACGTTAGGCTTTACAAGAAACGAAAATTTAAAATGAATCAAGACCTGTTACAGGAGAAAATGTGGACTGGACGAAGTGACTCAAAAAATGGTTGAATAGCAGGCCGTTTTGAACACAGTAACGAATGTTGCATTTCATGAAAACAGGACATTTCTAGACCATCTAAGCAACTATAAACTGTTCAAGGAATATCTTGCATCATGAAGTCAGTCTTTTGTTTTCGGGTGGATGAAGTCAGCTGTCATCACGTACCGTATACACAATCTGGAAGCCGTAAGGACGGGAAGGCAGATTTTCTGATTGCTCTGGAGAAATTTATCTGAGCCTCAGCAGTTTTTACATAACGTTTACAGTGACTGCAAGTCTACATGTGCTTCGCCAAGTAACGAGGTGACTTCTGTAACAAATATGAGAACAACAACTTCTGAGTTGTATCGCCTTGTATTTCGTAGATGTTCACTGGCGTTTCGGAGGAATGTATAGCCTCCTTCTTCAAATTACTGTCTGCTTATTGCTGCTTTCTTGCTTGGCTGATCCTTCGACCCTGAAATTGGAGGATATATGCTCCTCCGAAATATCGGAGGAATTTAACAAGTACAGGGCATTGCAAACCAGAAGATTGTACTCTTTGTAGTCAATGTGCATGGGTTACCTGCAGACCAGCGCACGCACTTGCCACCAAGTCGCTGCCCGTGAAATACACATCGCTTCAAACAATAGAACGTCGTTTTACATAATGTAAATTTAGTTTTAAATTACTTTAATATGTTGAATTATTTGAAAAAGAAACAAATTTGTTTTCAAAATAATAAGCTTTTGGACGTACAGCCCCTATGGACTATAGAGTGTTAGAGAACAGTGTAGAAATTTACGAAAATCATCATACATACCCGAGGAGTTCTGTCTTCTGGGATATAACGCAGTTCAGGTCATTGAAAATCAGCCGACTTTTTGAATGAACATGTCGCCTCCATCTTCAGCATCGAATTATAAACGAAGCAAGAAACCAACAAGAGAGCACTGCTTGCCACCTGCTTTCACACTGTTCTCTTGCTTCGCTTATTCTTCGCCCTTGAAGATAGAGGCGACATGTTTCTACGAAACGTCGGTTGACTTTCAACGGACTAAACGGCGTTAGAACCCAGAAGATAGGACTCTTCATAACTACCGCTGTGAGAACCTCAAATCCATACATATTTGACTATGGCCCTTTGCGGCCGAAATATGTGAATTTAGATGAAGTATTGACTAAGTGATGAATCGACCAGTATTCTGTGAGGTTACATTGAAGACTATATTGCACGATAACATAATATAGCAAGATGCTCAAATACAATATTTCTTTCCCCCTTGGCACTACAGCCCCAGTGGGCCTAGGCCTACCTCCATGAACTTCTTCGTTCACTTCGGTTTTTCTAGATCTTACACATTCGGTAGGACCCCTTGGGCGGGGGATCAGCTCGTCGCAAGGCCTCTACCTGTACACGAACACAGAAAAACGCACACACAAACTAAACATCCAGCCCTGAGTGGGATTCGAACCCACGATCCCGGTTTCCAAGCGAGCGAAGACAGTACATACCTTAGACCGCTCGGCTACCGTGACCGGCCCAAATACAATGTTATCAGCAACATTTATTAAAGCACTTTTTCTAGTCAGTGAATGTTTAACGAAATAACGTATGAACACTACAGAACGTTCCTATGGAGTGGTATGTAATATAACTTAGGGTCTGGAGACCTAGGACACACAGGCAGGCAGAAGGAGGGGTTGTTGCTGTCTTTACGAGATCCCAAGAGGATTCATGGCGTAAGTTCCCAGACCACGCCCTACTTCCTGAATGCCTTTGCTGTCAATAGCCGATTGACACACACACGACCGAACATCGCTATAAATACACGCGTCATGTACAGACCCAGAGTTTGGCTCGGCAATAAACAAAACATGTGCTGGCAGGACAGGAACTGCGCCAAACCTCAGCACGTGTACTAACGAGTGTGGCATATCGGGAGTTACTGTGGCCGTGGACATCTGGGTCTGCCCTAAGATTACTTCGTTATGCCAGCACTTTAATAGCAACAGCGGACTAATTCTCCCTTGGGATGTAATTAAAAACGTGACGCTTGACGCGGATTAGCTGTAAGCATAGACTGTACTATAATTGAGTGAACATCAGGGCGAATACAGGAACTTCGACAGCTGTTTTGATGGTGTGCAAGAAGCAAGTTTTTAATTGCGTTTATTTTGTGACTACCCACAAATTATATTGAATATGAAGAAAGCAGTCTTCTGGGATTTGGCACCGTGTATATGTGGTGTTAACCGACGTTTCGGAGGAACGTATCGCCTCCATCTTCAGGGTAGAAGAAAAAATATATAAGAAATCTGCAAGCAAAGAGACCGTGAGAACCGGTAAAAGCAGACACAGTCTGCTCTCTTTGCTTGCAGATTTCTTATATATTTTTTCTTCTACCCTGAAGATGGAGGCGATACGTTCCTCCGAAACGTCGGTTAACACCACATATACACGGTGCCAAATCCCAGAAGACTGCTTTCTTCATAATCACCGCCGTGAAAGCCTCAAATCTTATATATTGAATATTGTCACGTGTAAGGGATTGCCGTGACTAATATTAATGGATTCTGGATTTGATGATCGGGTTTGTTGGAACTTCTTTACAATTACATTCAATTATAACAGCGCACACATTGAACTCCTGAATGACGTCTGTATGAAGAATCTCTGATACTGCTATGAATCTCCGTATTCACAAATACTCCATTTTTACAACTGCCAGAAAGCCGAACAGAGATCGCCGCCTCCAACTGTAACTCATGAATGCGTTGTCTCGGAAACCGTGTGGTAATTCCGAAACAACGGTTTGGTTTTCCAAGTGTTCACAACTTTTAGTTTTCGTCCCCAAGAAAATTGTTTTGTTGTCATGAAAACATGCTTACCGAAACGTTGGCTACTAAGCAACCTAAGTCCTACTGTTGACTGCGATATCTCGAGAATGTATTTACTGAACCGTTGCCTAGCAAATGATCATATTTCATCACAATATTGTTTGTAAAGGGGTTCAGGCTAGTTGGAGAGCTGCTCCGAAAAACTTATCTTCAACTTTGTGCCCCAAAAGATGTTGGTGTATAATTCAAGTTATACACAGCTTATAATCTGCATCTACAATAAATGGAATAAATTATATCCTAAACAGTGTATTAAATAAGTTTCAAATGAGAAAAAGGAGGATCAGTCTATTGAACAACAAATATATTATTGCTTATCTCATAAAAATTAAAAAAGCAAAGTAAAATGGTATAAGTAAATATTTTATCAATTGTTAATGTGGTTCTGACCTGTTAACGAGATGACTAATCTTCTTTCTCGCAGAGCAGCGCCTCAATTCGGGGACGAATTTTAATTTTACGTACCCCAAGTTGAAGATCATTGGTCTAGGTGGTCTAGGCGTACCGCAGTCCATCCAGGCTTGAGCTGCGACAGACCTTCATCACGTTACGTGACTGATTCATCTCGACTTCCTTCCCAGCTATTAGTTCACCGTCACTCCACCACCACTGTCGACATACGAATACGAACGTAATATGTGAAGTTGAAAAACTTTCGTCAAATAAGTCAAGAAACAACCATTCAATTAACCAGCCTATCAGGCCACGCCATAGCTCAAGCGGTTAGTCGCTGGCTTCCCACCGCGGCGGCCCGGATTCGATCCCGGGTCTGGTCAAGTGGGATTTGTGGTGGACAAAGTGACGCTGGGGCAAGTTTTCTCCGAGTAGTTCGGTTTCCCCCGTCAATCTTCATTCCCCCAATTGCTCCACAGTCACCCTCACCTATCATCGGGGGCTGGTACAATAGGCCAGAAGTGGCCGCAATACAAGGGACTTAGTCCCACCCCACTAGCAATAAAGAAAAAAACAGCCTACCTACCCACCCACCCACCTGCCTGCCTGCTTGCCCGCCCCTCCATCCATCTATTTATCTTAAACATAATGAACCTTTAACTTAACTGATCAATGGTATGAATATCCGCCCACTTTCAAAATTTCAGAGTTTTATGTTAATTTATTTAATAGCGCGTTATCATATGCAGATGTTACATAGACTCAAATGTCAGGTGCCGGTCACGGTAGCCGAGCGGTCTAAGGCATGCACTGTCTTCGCTCGCTCGGAAGCCGGGATCGTGGCTTCGAATCCCACTCAGGGCATGGATGTTTGTGTGCGTTTTTCTGTGTTTGTCTACAGGTAGAGGCCTTGCGACGAGCTGATCACCCGCCCAGGGAGNNNGTCCTACCGTATGTGTAAGATCTAGAAAAACCGAAGTGAACGGAGAAGTTCATGGAGGTAGGCCTAGGCCCACTGGGGCTGTAGTGCCAAGAAAAAAAAAGTCAGGTTCATTTCGAAAAATTTGGAAAGAAGTGGCCAATGCGTACTTTAAAGCATTTTCCAGCATTTGCCCGGGGAACAAAGCAAAACCATGAAGAACTGAATGGGGAAGGCCGGCCTTCAGACTCCTGTTTCTTTGGTTCTTGGGCCCTTCGCCAATGATTTCTTATTTGAACTCAGTATAACGCATTATCGAATGGTACGATCAGTGCCTATCATTTGGAAATAATGTTAACGAAGCGGTGGTAACCTGCTATTAAACTCAATCATTTGCCTGGAAAGACTGAGGAGGGTAAGGAAAAGAGGACTTTCTCAGTTGCACGGATTTTAGAGCTTCGAATGGTAAGTCGACAGAGAACGTCGAATTGGGAAGGATGAGGAACAATACTGCTCTGGGCTATTCTAAAGGGGCCCATACACGTACGAGTCTGGCTCGCGAGTCCGTTTCGGCTTGGGTTTCAATGAGCTAGACTCGTCCGTGTGGGGGTTGCAAAGTTGGGAGTCAGCTCATACGTTTGTGGTGAAATTAATCCGAGCCCGACTCCCGAGTCAAGCTCACCGAGCCGGACTCGCGAGCCAGACTCGTACGTGTATGGGTCTCTTTAGGCAACGACTAAGGACTGGGGAGAACTACAAAAATCTCATGATATCCTGTTTCCGGTCCTACAAAGCATTTGCAAGAGTCCTACCCTTCTGTTAAATACAGCCAGTTTTGCCTGCAACTTCGACAACTTACACGACTCAGGGGATGCATGTGGCTACATGTGTTAGCAACCCCGAAGGACCGATTTCATGACGATGTTGTGTGACGTAGGTCCGGGTCCAAAATAGACTGCCCGCGGTCAACCTGAAGAGGAGGCCAGGGGCACAGGGGCCTAACCCTCGACGGATTTAGCCGGCCAGGAATGCCAAGAGGTCTTGTTCTCTCTCGGTGAAGGCAGAGGTGTATTTTAAGATTCTAAGTACCAGAACACACATTTATATGAAATTTTGTATTGGGAGTTTGCACTAAAGGCTTTGGAATAAATTTACTTTAGTTTTGTACAGGCCCTCTCTCAATGCTGCAGATGTTAACCATACACTAAATGGACATGAATGATGTCACTGTTTGTTAAATATACAATTTGTAATTCTCATATATATCTTAAAGTGTGGACCGCCTCTGTGGTCTAGTGGTCAGAGTTCCTGGATACAGAGGCGTAAAACACACACACACAAACAAAACAAAAACTCCGTGGTCTTTAGTCCGCGAACGAACTATACCGACCGAGCGACCGCCGCTTGTTGACGTAGTTAGTGCCAACTTTAGCGGATAGAGGGTATCGCGTTGTCAGTGCAACGAATCCCCACGGCCGTTAATTTCGGCTTTCTAGACCGGAGCCACTACTTCTCCATTCAAGTAGCTCCTCAATTATCCTCACGAGGCTGAGTGGACCCCGTTCCAGACCCACTACTTCTCAGAAAATCTGGTAGCGCCAGGAATCAAACCAGGAACCTCTGGATCTGTAGCCAGGAACTCTGACCACTAGACCATAGAGAGGAACCGTAGAGACAAAAAAAGATAAGTATGGATTATGCATTAATAAAATACCGATAGCCACAACAGAAACGGAGGAACGGAAAACAAACTGGTGTGAGAGAAGAACTCAGTTTGATACGTGAAGAACCCAAATTTATGGCATGTCATTTCATAATATCCTGTATAAGTGTGCACACATATTATGAAGCCCATCCAAAGTAAATAAAGCCCGACTGACAGTTAATATTACCTCAGCTAAAGCAGAATAGCCACAACAGGGGCACTCAAGGCTGCAGCCGGCATGGGCTATGCAGTTAAAGCTTTCGATTGCCACAAGAACATTGAGACAGACCTAGCTAATTTGCTACCTTCGCGATTCAGAAAAATGGTTCTTTTTGGGGGAGGGGGCTTGTCGCGAAGTAGTTAGCGTCATGCTAAGATAAAGTTGCCTCTGTGCCTAAGCATCACACCACGAGGGCTCAGAGAAGGAGAACAAGATGCTTGGTGGTTAAGCTCCACGCGTTCCAAATCTCCGTCATGGATGGAGGCCAACTTCCAGGGTCGTCTTAAATATATGAACATGAGGTCCCAAGAAGAACGTAACTGGAAGCTCCGTGTCATCCACCTGGAGAACGCATTTCCATTCTTGCTGAATTATGTGTTTCCTCCGCAAAATTCACTACATAAACACATTCTGGAGAAGTTGCTTTTGTTCGTGTGTTACATCTCCAAAAACAGTAAACAGATTTAAATCTAATTCGATTTCGGGAATTTTCACTATAAATTGTCTAGCCAGTTTGCTTTCGGTTCTTCCCCGTTAAAAAATGTATTCTTTTCCGAAGCTGAAACCGAGCTTTATCAGTTTCCTAAAGGCAATCTTGTTATTAAGCAGATTACATGAAGCTAAATTTGCCTCTGTGCTTAATTAATTAAGCACTATTCCATGAAGGCCTATGAGGGAGTTGAGGTATAGCCCCACCATTCTTCACCTCGACACTATATGGAGGTGAGTGGTCAGCTTTACGATCCGGCCGCTTTACCCCCGGGGGGAAATTGCCTTGGTACCCACTGGATTGGAGGCTGGTTGGACCCCAGAGCCGGTCTTGACGCTGTGGAGAAGAGAAAAATCTTGCCCCTGCCGTAAATGCAACCCCGGCTGCCCAGCCATTAGGCCTTTGCTATACCGACTGAGCTATTTTGACTAGAAGCAGATGAGAAAAGAGATTATATATATTCTCATCTCTTTTCTCATATATATTTCGTTAAAGATTAGTAATAATTTGAAATATTTTTTATGTACGAAAGGCTTATAAAGTGTATAAAATCGCAAAGCGCAGGCTTGAACACGTGTACTGTACAGGAGCACCTTCTGCCAATTCTGCTGGCAAGGAGGAGAGCAATCTGCAATACGGCACATCGTGCATTGTCGTTTCCGATCTGCACTGCCGCTGATTGCCAAATAGGTCAGCCGAACACCTGCTGTTTCGGGCCCAACTGACCCTGTCTGTCACGTTGTAAGCAGCTACCCCATGCTCATTTTCCGACAGACCCCGTTTTCTGGGCCCCGCACTCCATCACCACTAGATGCTGAACAAACGCCTCCATCACTACTAGATGCTGAACAGACACCTCCATCAGTTAGCACGTTTATACTCTCTTAATCCTCGATGCTAGAAGATAATTCATGAATCATGTAACGACATCATTTCAGCCGCAGGAGCTGTACGTTTCTTGATTAATTTAATGATGATTTGATAAGAATAGATGTTATTTTCGGAACCTTTTCTTTGGACGTTGTCCACGTTCTGGATAATAACGCTTCTCTTTAGAATATTCATTGTCTTCCCTTCTTCAATTAATTATTAATAAGAGCGCCAATATGATGTGGACTCAGGCAATTTTAAAATTTGTTATTAGAGACTGCATACTCCAATGTTTTAGATTTTCTTTATGTTAATGAACATTTCTACCTATCTGTTCTTCCACTAGCAATACCTTCTTATAACATATAGCCATCTATGGTTATTTTTGTTATCTCCGACCAAGGTTCGCTTACCATTCTTTCATATACAGTCTCAGAATATGAGAGTTGTGAGAAACATCACATGGAACCTTCGCAAAACCAGGCTCCAGGTCAATATTCGAATCTGGGAGCACAAAAAAGTAGTGTTAAACATTACACCACGACAATAGGTAAAATAATATGTTGTTGGTAGCATCATAAAATACGAGAATGTACTAGGCCTATGTGCTGAGACTGGAAGGAAGTAACGCAATATAAGGTAATATCAGGGCATTCATTGAAACCAACGAGACAAAACATGAAATTCTTCTTTCAGGATAGGCGGTACGCGAAAACCTGCTTCCAAATGACGTTTCGGAAAGAAGCGCGAGTACCTGCAGAATACAAGTCGGACATACGTGGAAGTACTTGCAGAATACAAGTCAGATATACGTGCGAATACTTGCAGAATACAAGTCAGATATACATGCGAATACTTGCAGAATACAAGTCAGACATACGTGCGAATACTTGCGGAATACAAGTCAGATATACGTGCGAATACTTGCAGAATACAAGTCAGATATACGTGCGAATACTTGCAGAGTACAAGTCAGATATACGTGCGAATACTTGCAGAATACAAGTCAGGTAAATATGCGAGTATTCCGACAAACGAGTTGACGCTTTCATCAAGCCTGCTCCATGTGCTTAATATTAAGGCACAAGTTAAGTAACAGCAAAACCCTCACAGTTTGCATGTATTAGTATTAAGATGGATTAGAATTCAAATAAACTGTGGTTGCAGTTATCAGCAAGTAGCACAGTCAGAGGTGCTTGAAGACAAGAAGAATTGGAAGGTAACAGGCCCGCAGAAGGAGAAGGAAGGATCGGCCAGAGAAAGATTTAAAAGGTGCAGTCTTCACAATTCGCACTTTATGCCTTGTATTACCAGAATATTTAGGTGCAGGACTACGAGATGGTTAGTACATGAAGAAAAAGGGAAATTTCTAAAGTTAATCCGAAGACCTATAAGGAGAAGCGTCACTTGGAAGACCTAGGAGGATGGATGGATGGATGATAGAAAATAGATCTTGGATAGATGGCATGCATTGGAATGAACTGGTTCAGGAATTTATACGCTTGTATGACGAGTATTTATGATTACGGAGATAAGCCTTTTGGTTCTAAACTAGATTGGGTTTCTTTCACCAGCTAAACAACTTGAAATTTTCAAGGAAGACCTTCCACCAGGGATTTATTTGCATTATTTCCATTGGAAATTCGAGTGGTAGACGCTGGCAGATGTTAAGAAGAAATTTACTCCTGCTGTCGCAGAGATCCTTGAAGCCTAGGTGTGTTATCTATGGTTGAAGCTCCTGCGGGCTAGAGATGCTCTGGTACTTGTAAGATATTCCTGTCAAGTGACGGGACGCGTGTCCTGAATGGGACACCCACTACATCCTGTGACGCGGGAAATTTCCCCACAAAATCTTTCTTTTCATAGCGTAGTTAGCGGTGATGTACTTGGAAAACAAGCACATCCTGAGTTCAACAACAGCGGAAGTTTTCTGTATTTAGCCATCGAATCAGTTCTGCTGTTCAACGTTTCACGGGAATTGTATAATCTAGAGCCTACGGCTCATACTTCTTATGGGTTCTTTGCACAATGTGCAGAAAATGAATGCGTAAAGGAAACACTGTTCTTAACTCCGTGGGTTTCATCTCCGAAATTACACAATGGATTTAAATGTAATTTTATTTTCGGAACCTGCATTATAATTTGTCTGGCTCTTTCATTTTTGTTCGAACATTTCCATTGTTGGAATCTGATACTGTAACGGCGGCGAATATTAAGGTTATGGCTATCTATGATGCGATTCAACGACGTTTCTGAGGGTCTCCTGTCTCCATCATCAGAGCAGAGGAGGGGAATACTTCGACGCTGAAATTATGCCGGTTAGTTCTCCAATATCTTGGTATACCTCCAACCAGATTGCAAAGTATCTCATCCCATAAGATATTATTTCAATGTTTTCAAATACTCAAGACTCACCGTACAGGAAATCTGTATGAAACATAAAACATAGCACAAATCTCTCTAAGGTAGAGAAATTTTATTTTAAACATTTTAAAACATATGAAGATTTAAGCAAATGCTGAAATACTTGGCTTTATACAGGATCATCTCTATTAAAATTATTTTACAATAATGAATCTGTTTGTATAATAAATGAACACCAGAACCAACAGGATATACAAAATTGCAAATCACGCATCTGCAAAATATATTTCAACGTTCTGGCTTACTGAGTTGACTCTGAAGTACGATTTTGGTTTATACTCTAGTATGCCAGTGAACTATAAGTTCCCAATACAATTCACAACGTTCGCAGAAGGCTCTAAACTTGTTTACTTCGTTTTTCATCTACTTGTAGTTTATTTAATGGCACTTTCGGTTTTTCAGATTATTAAATGTGGAATGGTAGTGTTATTAATAAGAAGTGGAACGGCCCGGATGGAGAAATCAGGGACCGTGGCCTAATTTGAGCTATTCTCGAAGCATTTATGTGGAGTGACAGATGAAAATCACAACAACAAAAAAAAGTCAGAGTGGCCTATCTTCTGGCCGAGGTTTGAACCCGTCACATCTGAATACGAAATAGAATTGCCATCAACTTGTATGTGACGTTCAGGTCTGCTTCGTGTATTTATTTACAGTTCACTTAACGATGGTATCGCAAACTATATAGCATCGAATGGAAAGCTAAAGCTATCCCAGTAACAGGCCGTGGAGGCCCATAAGTTTGTGAGACGTCGAGGCTCCCATATTTTCTAGACAATCGGTTGTCAACCTTACGCGCCGGCCGCCCTTTACCTTCAGGAAGATTCCTGGTACTCATTTCTGTTAGAGGCTAGGTCGCCCACAGGGTCATAACGCGGCTGGAAGAATTATGTCAATTGAAAAATCCAATGACCTCATCGGGTATCGAACCCACGACCTTCTGGCTTGTTGCATAGTGCCTCAACCAACTACGCTATCGCGTGCCCCCGCATCGAATGGTAGGATGTTTAATTTATGTCGAATTGGAAAGGACGCAGAAAGAAGCGATCATGGCCTATTTCAAGGTACTATCCAGAAATTTGCCTAGAGGGTCTGAGAAAACCCATGAAATCCCGCAATCCGGAAATCCGATGTCCCAGCCAAGATTCGAAGCGGACATATCCCGAATACTAATCAGACATGTTTCCGACCGAGCCAACTTGCTCAGTTCGATACACGTAATAAACAATGGATTTCGTACGCCGATCTCTGAAGTATTAGTGTTGGACAGTTCTATCTTCTGGGGTAAGACGCCGTGTAGACCGGTAAGTTTCAACGGATTGCACGGCGTTATATCCGAGAAGATAGAACTCTTCATAACCACGGTCGTGAGGACCTCAACTCATTTTAACGTTTAGTCTAACTGAACATTTTCTCTTAGCACCGACAAGCCTACAATTCTGGGAAGACAGGGGCCTAAGTACGAATTTTTTCGAGGACGTGGGCTGCTGATCGTGATTACGGCCGTACTTTGCCTGTTCAGAAGCGTGGACGACGGTGGTCTCAAGGAGTTCAGATTGCAGCAGCAGTGGAACCAGGTGGCAGCACGTTAATATGACTTATGGTGACGCTTCAAACTACGTAGTTACACCTCTCTGTACAGAGATAGCGCTACCACAACACTAAGCCTTCCGCTTCGAATTTTTTATTCTCAGTTGAAGGACGAAGATGGAAACTAAAATTCTCATTGAAGTTAGAGGGTCTAATTTATGGGAAGTATATGGATCTCATGATAGTGGGAAAAACATGAAGAAAATATTTGAAAAAAGTACAGATGTTACATAGTAGTGCTGGTCATATGAGAAAACTCGTGAGTAGTACGTAGGATGTGAGGTTCTCATAGCGGTGGTTATGAAGAATACTACCTTCGCGTTTAACATATTTACAGTGTGGGTAAACAAACGACGATTACTAGAATTATCAAGTTATTTTCCTATGACATTTGACGACTGAGTGGCCCTACACTTCATGATATGAAGTTCAATTACTCGCTCGGGACATTTATGTCTTCAGCTACTGTGTCATAATGTAGGAATCTGTTTGCCTTTCAACACACCAGATCCTCTACAGGAAACATATTTACCCTCCGGATATAACAGGTTATTTCCAAATTTTGCAACGTCCGACTAGCGCCGGTCTCCGCCTTACTCCTCCCATTCCTTTCGAGAAAGGTTAGATGCAAATGCTGTCCCAGACGACGAGAAATTGCCCCTTCCCCCACAATTAAATGCACCTCAGCACTCCCGAAACTTCATCACAGTAAATAAGACGACATTTCCATAATCCGTGACAAATAATCAAAATTCCTAAAGCAGTTTTATTTATATTTTTGCATGGCTGTCATACTACTGTAAATTAATGATCACTGCATGAATAAAACAGCAGCAGATTTTTTTTTTAAATAAAAATGGAAGATTTGCAACACTCACAATATGTTTCGGTCCAGATCCCAATGTCTCCTCCCCCCCCCCCTAGAAGAATCATCATATATTTTATGGTGATCTTTTCTCTTACAATATTTTATTTTTGATTTTTAAATTCAGTATGCGTACGTATATTTTTAAAATATAATGTGTATACAGTAGGTCTATTAAGTCGAATGCAACCTAATTTTACAACAGGTTTTCAATTTATACTAGTATTATAGTTTTATATGAATTCCGATAGCATTTGTATATTTCTCAAGTATTACCTGATGATGGTCTGTCTGGGCCGAAACATGTTGTGAGTGGAATAATAAAAGCTTTTGTTTGTGTTACGCTAACCCTTACATTTTTATATGTAAGCATAAGAAACGGGGTGCATTACTACAATATTGAGAAATTACTATTCATTTAACTATAAAAAAGAAAAGAATACTGTGACGCCCAAGGGTGCAGTTCTGGTACCTCGTGCTGACATCAGTCAGTTCTTGAAGCTGTCAGTGAAGAAGGCATCCCTGATGTAATAATGTCATCTTCAGTGCCCAGTCCTATTTCAAGAAGTGATGCTACAATCTTCTTCCGATGTGGTACACTGAGTTCTTCGTCACTCCTCTACAATTCCTTGTTCACACTTGCAAATACGTGGCACTCCTTTTTACTGTTGAAAAATAGTAGTACCTATTTCTCACCACCACTTAGAGGGCCTCTGCTAATGACGCTAAGAGTTGCCATATCATGGTGTTTTATTGCTTGGCTTACTCTTTGTTCCTGAAGATGGAAGCGATATGTTCCCTCGAAATGTCGGTCGACTTTCACCGGATTGCACGGCGTTATACCCTAGAGGACACAACTCTGTACTCACCCATGTGAGAACCTGAAATTCAAAACAGAAGCAAGGTCATTTATGCCCTTCTTCCTTTAAGAAAGGATATTTTGTCTGTGAAAAGTAAAGTTGTCCCTGTGCTTAATTAATTAAGCACAATGTAATGAAGACGTATGGGAGAAAGGAGGTATAACTTCAAGATTCTTGACCTAGGCTTCATGCCCCGGCCGCTTTACCCCCGGGGAAAGAGCCCTCTGTACCATTGGGTAGGAGTTTGAGTGAGCCTCCGAACCGTTCTCGACGATGTTGAGAAATAAAAAATCTTTTGGCCCTGCCGGGAGCCCAGCCTGTAGCCCGTCGCTATACCGACTGAACTATCCCAGCTTCACGAATAAGCGGCCTTGACCTATTAAAAGATACTGTCAACATTTGCCTGGAAGAAATGAGGATCCGTTTTCGGTAGTTTGCATTTTAAGTATAACGTTTTCATTGTAAAATTAGACATTGGACTTTTTATACAAATAAATAGAATAATAGCCGGTCACGGTAGCCGAGCAGTCTAAGACATGTACTGTCTTCGCTTGTTTGGAAACCGGGATCGTGGGTTCGAATCCCACTCAGGGTATGGATGTTTAGTTTGTGTGTGTGTGTGTGTGTGTGTGTGCGTTTTTCTGTGTTTGTGTACAGGTAGAGGCCTTGCGACGAGCTGATCACCCGCCCAAGGAGTCCTACAGAATGTGTAAGATCTAGAAAAACCGAAGTGTACGGAGAAGTTCATGGAGGTAGGCCTAGGCCCACTGGGGCTGTAGTGCCAAGGAAAAAAAAAAGTAGAATAATAAAAGAGCGCTTAGGCTCATTAAAGAAGAAATCCCTGAAGGTGAGGAAGCGTAGTGATTTAAGGTGACGCAACGAGGAGGCGAGACGCAAAAGGTGAACAATCCCTGCCTTAAACAAACTTCCCTCTCGTAACTTGCAGACACCTCATTCTAACTCTTTCTCTCGGTGACTAATGTTTCATGAATTCCATGTTTCTGGTGCTGACTCAGGCAGTCCATTGTGAGGTGTTATGCACACAATAAAGCATTCCTGGTTTCTGTTCTCTTGTACCATAATTGCAACACACACACCGTACGTACTTGGAGAATAAGAAAGCTCAAAATCACAATGCTGCAGTTGGTGGGTCCATTACTGCGGTTGTAGAGAAGTGACTTTTACTGTGCAAAAGAAGAATTAAAAAGTGAATGGAGTGTGCGTACTTCCCAAACGCGGCCCTTTTTTTCTGTTATAGTGTCTTTGGACATTATCCAGCTTCCTGTTTTTGTATTTATTTAAAATAAATCGTATCGGAGACTGGATTCTGTCTCTGTCTTCATCTATACATCCGCTCCCCCTTACGCCTTCATGGCGTAGTGCTTAATTAGTTAACCACAGGGCCAACTTTACATTTACCTTCAGGTAAAAGCCTGCGCACTTGACCGCAATTGATAGGGCTAGTCCTTATCTCGGGACATCAGCACCAACACAAGTTAGGACATAAATCGCCTGCGATAGTTGAGGCAAATATTAAAAACATAAAAATAACTCCATGCACATGAGGCCTAGCATTTATGTCCATGCATTATTTCACGGCTATTGTTAAAATCAGAGTACTATCAGAATAGAAGACATCACTTACTTACTTACTTACTTACTCATGGAGCTGAGCCCTTCTGGAGAAGCCGCCAATTCTGCAGCTACTCAAGAATTTCCCAGCATTTTATGGAACCAGAAGGTTCACTACCGTGTTCACAAGAGCCATCCACTGGTCTCCATCATGGGCCAGATCAATCCAATCCATACCATCTCATTCTATCTCTCTAAGATCCATTTTAAAATTGTCCACCCACCTACGCCTTGGTCTTCCCAGTGGTCTCTTTCCTTCTGGCTTACCCACCAATACTCTATACGCATTCCTCGACTCCCCCATCGTGCTACATGCCCCGCCCATCCCATCCTCCTTGACCTGATCATTCTAATTGTAATTGGAAAAGAGTACAAGTTATGAAGCTCCTCATTGTGCAGTTTTCTCCAACCTCCTGTCACTTCATCCCTCTTCCTTCCAAATATTCTCCTCAACACCCTGTTTTCAAACACCCTCAGTCTATGTTCCTCCCTTAATGTCAGTGACCAAGTTTCACACCCATACAGAACCACAGGCAAAATTATAGTTTTGTATATTCTAATTTTTATGTTTTTGGACAACAGACGAGAAGACAAAAGGTTCTGGACTGAATGGTAGCAAGCATTACTCGAGCTCAATCGCCTCTTAATTTCCTCCTGAATCAGACTTCGATCTGTTATCGTTGTTCCCAAATATCTGAACTGTGCCACATTTTCAAAACATCTGTTTCCTATCTTTATGTCATGATTCTGTCCTACATTTTGGTGACGAGACAGCAACATGTACTTAGTTCTCTCTGTGTATACTTCTAGACCAAACTATCTACTTGCGTCAATTAAAGTAAAGAGGTTGGTCGAGAAGTCATCACTAAAAAGACAAATTCCTCATTTTGTACACCATATTGACCTTGATGCTAATTTGTTGTAGTTGGAATCTGCCGTTGAGAAGTCCATCATGCTACAGACATGACAAACCACAAAGCTACAAATTGATTTACCTTGCATTTCATTACACATAGACCATATCGAAAATGTATTTAAAAACGTCATAGATCGTAATGAGATATACATTTTATGCACCTTTTCCTTTTCTCTCTTTTTTCACTGACGTACCTTTCTTATTAGTTTTTCTTTTTTAACTATAATATAGAGGCTGTAATTGTACGATACAAATGCAATTGACATCTCTCGACAATTTGCGCTTCAATATGAAGCACTGAGTAGTTTCGGATATTAAACATACGGACGGCGTTCCCAACTATGCTTTCTTTTTATATACTTCATGCATAATGACAGCCACATGCAGCAAGTGTGGGTGAGAAGAGGATTTTGGTGGGAAAGCCAGAAGGAAAGAGACCACCAGAAAGACGTAAACGTAGATGGGAAGATAACATTAAAATGGATCTTAGAGAGACTGGCTGGGGTGCTATGGACTGGATTGATCTGGCTCAGGATAGGGACCAGTGAAGGGCTCTCGTGAACACGGTAATGAACCTTCGTGTACCGTAAAATATTGGGAAATTCTCGAGTGGCTGCGTGACTGGCGGCTTCACAAGAAAGGCCCAGTTCCGTGGATTTAATTAGTTATAATGAGAGCCACTCTAATGCTGTTTTCTAAGGAAAACATGTGTAGGCCCACATAAACTTCTCGCTTTAAGATAGGGATGCGTTTATTGAAAAATGTTCATTGTGTGTAAATTCCCTATCTGATAATTAATTCCCCATTAAGTTAAACGTAGCAGAGAGAGGAACATAATTATGATTTCAAAATAATCAATCATATGAAGATGCTATCCTAGGATTCTGATGGGGATGGACAGACAGAGGAAAACCACAATGTATTTAAGTCAGGATAGCCCGTAATCTGAACGAGATTTAAACGTTATCTGTATAGTATATCGCCGATTTAACGGACTCATTTAGGAAGAGGTGCCCAATGTTGCCGAGTATCCGTTAAATCCAAATGTCCGCAACCCGCGTAAAATAACACAGCACAAAACAAATTTTATTTGCGATAGAACGATCCATGTACTAGATACGCGTAATTTTGGCAGCATGACATATCAACCAGCCTCTTAAAGAAGCACTGACATATCAAACCGGAAAATAACGGGGAAGTGCCTAAGAATTTTATCCGTTAAATCCGAAATACATATTTTCAATCGAGGGTTTACTGTATACCAACTTGCTGAATGATGCGACACTTCCTTTGTGTGTAGGGGCCTGTCCCCCCGGGGACCTGCTTAACGACTGGGGCCTTCCTTATCTACAGCCACATCCTCCATCATTGCCTTATATCCGCACTTGTCGTTAGTCGGTTAAGCGGCGTGCCTGTGAAATGGTGATAGAGAGGTACTGAATAGTGAAGTGTGCAAGTGTGGAAGGCAAGCCATACATAGGTACGGTTATTGTATCCGTGTACATAGGCACCGCCCATGAAGGAACATGCTGGGAGTGTCTGTAACGTTCCACGCATTCGTGCCTTTGACACTTCATCGAAATAAGTGGACAGCTTCATTTTCCAGCCTTTAACGGTGCATTCGTTGTGTTACCTTACACATGTAAGTTCTGAGTGCAGGGTCTCCTGTAATGAATCCATTTTGTTTTGGTCGAAACGATTTTAAAACGGAAAGTAGACGGGCTTTAAAGAAGGCAGAGTCAAAGTCACATTGCGACTGACGGTCAGTCAGTCTCTCTGTCTCGGTGTAGAGCCCCGGCTGGGGCTCATGACCAGATGTTTCTTCTTGTTTGAAAGTTACTGTCCTGTCCACCCACGTTGGGTGCCTTCTCTGACGAGAGGTCAGATCTGTCATTCGCCAGTCATAGTCGGTTGTATTAGTCCATTGTCAGTATGCACAATTATTTGCAAGTTTACAGTTATTAGCTAACCCTATGTAAAATGTACACAAGGCCTCTGTGAGACCAGGCTCAGTACAGCAGATTATGCCCTATTTCTAGTAGCTTCCGCTACAACGGCAACCTAGTCACTTGAACGGTTGTATGTTTGACCGCCGCAAGGTGAGAGAAGCAGTGCCCGGTTTCTTTATGCACATAATGAGCAGTAGGAGCCGAGGTAGCGCAGTCGATACAGCGAATGGCTACAGTCTGGACAGCGGAGGGGTCGGCTTTCGAGTCCCGGTGGAGCCAAGAATTTGCTCTTCTCCACGTCGTCCAAACCGGTTCTGGGGTCCACCCAACCCCCTATCCAATGGATACCGTGGGCTCTTTCCCAGGGGTAAAGCAGCCGGGGCGTGAAGCTGACCACTACCTCCAGCTAGTGCCAATGTCAGGAAAATGCGGATCTATACATCGACTTCACCATACACCTTCATGGCGTAGTGCTTAATTCGTTAAGCACAGGGACAACTTTACCTTACCTTTACACACTAAGG